AACATCTTGGCACAGGCTCCTCTGTCACCTCTTCTTGCAACTAGAACATTATAGTCCAGCTGCTCTAGGTCTGTGGTTCTCAACCTGTGCTGTACATAGTGATCTTCTAAGGGTTACATTATCTCATATCTACTAGATATCTGCTTAGTTTTACAACAAGCTGCATGCAAAGCACTAGTGAAGTCACTAAAAACTAAAACTTCATATACACAGTGATTTGTTTATACAGCTCTATATACTACATACTGAAATATAAGTACAATATTTATATTCCAATTGATTTATATTTATATGGTAAAAATGACAAAGCAAGCATTTTTTCAGCAACAGCGTGCTGACACACTTTTGTATGCTTACATTTGATTTTGTAAGCTAGTAGTTTTTAGGGGAAGTGAAACTTATGGTGTGTAAGACAAATCAGGCTCCTGAAAGGGGTACCATTGTCTGGAAAAAACAACAAGTAGTCCTGTAGCACCTTAGAGACTAACAAAAATATATTTACAGAATCATGAGCTTTTGTGGACAACACCCACTCCCTTCAGACTCACCTGAAGTCATCAATCTTGCCTAAATAATTTTAAAATTCTTTTTCTATTTTAACTGATGATCCTATCCCATTCTCACTGGCAGAGACCCTTCTCCTAACCCCTGAAGCAGCAATGGAGTCTGGAGCTTTTCTCCCCTTTGCCACCTCCAGCTTGTATGTGGTACACTGACAACCTATGATTAGCACTGTTCCCCCTCCACATGACCCCTCACTCCACTGGGCAGAAGGGGGGCCAAACAAGTAACAGAGATAGGAAGGTGTTCCCAGGAAAACCATAACATTCAGCTCTGAATCATGCCCACCTCATTGTTACCACTTCCTAAAAAAAACAAAAACTGCCCCCCACTAAACACTTGTGGTGTCACAGCGTCCAGGTTAACCTGCAGTGACTTGTACCCTTAGAATGTGAAATAAACCTATGCCTAGACCTCTGAAGGTCAGGAAAAACATTGTCAGGTAATGTTCTCCCAAACCACATACAGTAGTCTTAACCCAGTCTCCTTTTGGGAGTGTCTCAGTAAGTCCCTAACACGGCTACATTTCTATCACTATTCAGTAAGTCCCGGTGAGAGATTATATGATTTTACCTCTCTCAGGCATTTGGAGGATAGTTTGAAAAGTGTGGGGGAAACATGACTCATGTGCACTACAACTGAGTGTAAGGCAGGATTAATGTTAGCTAGGCATGAGCTCTAGTCAACCAATTCACCTACTCCAGGCAAACCATACTGTTGCCAGATATTAAGAGTTTTTCAGTCCTTGTCAGAGTTAGTCCTTGGGCTTCACCATAAGCTAGCCCCATCTAAGGTTAGTAGCATGCACCACAATGCACTGCACTGCTAGAATATTTCAAGGAAAGAGGACAGCATAGAGGACAGAGATGATAGATGTTACTGTATGAAGACAGGTACACATATGGGTTTGGGCTGGGTACTGAAAATGTATAATAAGTATTAGATTGGAATGAAACACTCATATTCCCCTATTTCTTGACATGCCCAGTAGAATGTCAGCTTCCACAAGTTGGAGTCATTCTTGTGGTCCTAAAACCCTACAAGCAACTCTTACATATATCCTTTGATTTTTGTACCAAGAAAGGACATTGTAATGATCCAGTTAGATCTCCTGAATATCTCAGCAGGGGAAAAAAAAAAAGGATCCCCGATTCCTCTAGCTCAGTGGTTCTCAAACTATCAATCATTATATCTGGCCCATAATGTGTTATCTGAGCTGAAGGTTGAAAACCACTGCAGCCCATCCCTCACCCACATACACACACTGCTGTGCCCAGCATCCACAGGCCAGAGACCCCTTTTACTGAGTCAAGTCAAGAGCAAAGCCCCAATGGCAGGGCCTGGCCGCAGGAATGTTGGATCCTGTTGTGTGGTGCTGACAGGAGCCCCAATCCAACCCCCACTGGGCAGTGACCCACTATCCCAGGCTTTGTTGTGTCTAGGCTAAGCAGTAGACCTGACATTGGACCCTACAACCGTTTAGCACACAGCTGGATTGCAGCTGTCTGCTAATTAGACCACATGTGGTCTGTGGGCCACAGGTGGTCATTGCTCTAACTACAGCTGCTCCTCTTCTCAGATAGTGTGCAAACCAGCATCTTGCTGCAACTAATTCCTGCATTAACACAATGCATCCAATGTAGTAAGAAGTGTTTGAAGAATGACAGCCCTGTGTTGGACACAAACACAACAAAAATTGCAGATTTTGTAGACAGGTCAGATATGGTTTTGTCAGACTGCCTACTGTCAATGGCAAGGGGGCCTAGTTAAGGTTTTGTGCACGTGTATGGTATGGATGAGATTAACTCTCATGCAATTTTCGTAAGTTTAAAGACAGGCACACTTGATATTCTCCTTGAATCAGCAGCTAATTGAATTCCCTCCCTCCGTGTGTGTGTGTGTGTGTGTGTGTGTGTGTGTGTGCGCGCACGCGCATGCACACCTCAGTTCCCCTAAGCAGTGCAATCGGATGAGGAGGGGAAGGCTGGGCGTGACTCTCTGAGGAAGTCTGTTCAGTCTCCCATGTCCGGAGGAGCAGGTGACACCAGATAATACCTTGGGCCCGGCCATCTGACCAAAGGAGGGGGCGGGGCTGTCTGCAGGGCTGGGCCCCGTTGTTGGGTGTATGAGTTAGCGCGGAGCATGGAGTCTAGCAGGCTTGGGGGCCAAGAGGGATTGTACTGAATGCTCCTGATCCCAGTAACAACACGTCTGCGCTACGCTGTCGTCCCCCCCCACTCCCCCCCCCGGGAACAAAGACACCTGTTCTGCCTGCCGGCTGAGAGTCACCGCTGGCTGCGGGTGGGGGTGCAGGGCCGTGACTCACCCACACTCCCTGAGGGGTTGGGCACTGCGTTGCCCCTGCTGTTTATCCCCCCTCACGGGGCAGCTTGTGGCTTTCCTGCAAGGGGACACTGCGCAGAGAAGAGGGGTGTTGGGGCTGTGCAAGTAGGGAGTCCGGCAGCCAGGACTCCCAGATACTAGGGGAGCGGTGTGAGTTCTCTTTCCTCCATAGACAGTGACTCACTTCCATAAGGGGCAAATTTGTCCCCTTTGTGCCTCAGTTTACCTCTCTGTTCTATGGCGTGAGGGATTCCCATCCTGGCTGACTTGAATTAGGAGCTATAGACTGTGTTCAGTGGAGTTTATGCAGAGGGGTAGAGTCAGAACAGGGACATGGGCAGGGCACTGTGTGTGGGTATGGGGAAAGCCCAGGGCTGGGATGGCAGAGTATGTGAGATATTGATAGAACCAGGGGTGGTAGGGGGCTCCGGGTTGGGAACACAGAGCACTGGCACAGCTCTGTGGGGCGGGTAGCTGGGGGGCTGCGGGTTGGGAGTCAGGAACACTGGCACAGCTCTGTGGGGTTAGTAGCTGGGGGACTGCGGGTTGGGGGTCAGGAACCCTGGCACAGCTCTGTGGGGTTAGTAGCTGGGGGACTGCGGGTTGGGGGTCAGGAACCCTGGCACAGCTCTGTGGGGTTAGTAGCTGGGGGACTGCGGGTTGGGGGTCAGGAACCCTGGCACAGCTCTGTGGGGTTAGTAGCTGGGGGACTGCGGGTTGGGGGTCAGGAACCCTGGCACAGCTCTGTGGGGTTAGTAGCTGGGGGACTGCGGGTTGGGGGTCAGGAACCCTGGCACAGCTCTGTGGGGTTAGTAGCTGGGGGACTGCGGGTTGGGGGTCAGGAACCCTGGCACAGCTCTGTGGGGTTAGTAGCTGGGGGACTGCGGGTTGGGGGTCAGGAACCCTGGCACAGCTCTGTGGGGTTAGTAGCTGGGGGACTGCGGGTTGGGGGTCAGGAACCCTGGCACAGCTCTGTGGGGTTAGTAGCTGGGGGACTGCGGGTTGGGGGTCAGGAACCCTGGCACAGCTCTGTGGGGTTAGTAGCTGGGGGACTGCGGGTTGGGGGTCAGGAACCCTGGCACAGCTCTGTGGGGTTAGTAGCTGGGGGACTGCGGGTTGGGGGTCAGGAACCCTGGCACAGCTCTGTGGGGTTAGTAGCTGGGGGACTGCGGGTTGGGGGTCAGGAACCCTGGCACAGCTCTGTGGGGTTAGTAGCTGGGGGACTGCGGGTTGGGGGTCAGGAACCCTGGCACAGCTCTGTGGGGTTAGTAGCTGGGGGACTGCGGGTTGGGGGTCAGGAACCCTGGCACAGCTCTGTGGGGTTAGTAGCTGGGGGACTGCGGGTTGGGGGTCAGGAACCCTGGCACAGCTCTGTGGGGTTAGTAGCTGGGGGACTGCGGGTTGGGGGTCAGGAACCCTGGCACAGCTCTGTGGGGTTAGTAGCTGGGGGACTGCGGGTTGGGGGTCAGGAACCCTGGCACAGCTCTGTGGGGTTAGTAGCTGGGGGACTGCGGGTTGGGGGTCAGGAACCCTGGCACAGCTCTGTGGGGTTAGTAGCTGGGGGACTGCGGGTTGGGGGTCAGGAACCCTGGCACAGCTCTGTGGGGTTAGTAGCTGGGGGACTGCGGGTTGGGGGTCAGGAACCCTGGCACAGCTCTGTGGGGTTAGTAGCTGGGGGACTGCGGGTTGGGGGTCAGGAACCCTGGCACAGCTCTGTGGGGTTAGTAGCTGGGGGACTGCGGGTTGGGGGTCAGGAACACTGGCACAGCTGTGCTTTCTCGCTACTTTCTTGTACAGTTTCCAGCTGGCCAGGCTGCAGTATGTGCTGGAGCTGGAGGTTGGGAAGAGTCCCAGCTGCTGGCAGGTGGAGCTGGATCTGTGCGGGGAGCTGGCCCTGCTCAGCTTGGGGAAGGGGGCAGTTACCTGGGGCTGGGCATGGCTGGAACAGCGGAGGCAAAGGTGTCCTGTAGCAGAAAGTCAACTCCCTGCCCCCAGGGAACAAAGAGCTTGGGGTCCAGCCTGCCTGCTGGGCTCCCCCTGCTCACTGCTCAATAGCCCAGCACAAGCTGTCTCCTCCCTGCCTGCCCCCAGCCTGACCTATAGGCCCAGCTCCCATCCACAGGCTCTAGGGAGGGGTTTGTTGTTGTGCCACTACTGGTTTGTGGGTTGTTTCTGGGGCAGAGGTTTGTTATTGTAGGGCTGCTGGCATGTAAGTTGTTTCTGGGGAAGGGTTTGTTATCATAGGGCTGCTTGCAAGTGGGTTGTTTCTTGGGAGGGGTTTCTGATTGTAGAGTAACTGGCTGGTGGGTTGTTTCTGGAGGTGTCATTTGTTATTGTAGGGATCCTGGCAGGCAAGTTTGCACTGGGGGGAGAAGTTTGTTATTGTAGGGTTGCTGTAAGGTGGGTTTTTCGGGAGGAGGGGTTTGTTATTGTAGGGCTACTGGCAAGTGGTTTGCTGTTTCTGAAGGAGGGGGTTGTTATTGTAGGGTTGGTGGCAGGCTGGTTGTTGCGTGGGGGAGGGATTTGTTATTGTGGATCTAAAGGCAGGTGGGTTGCTGTCAGGGTGAAGGGTTTGTTATTATTGGGTCCCTGACAGGTGGGTTTTTTGGGGGGAGGAGGGGTTAGTTATTGTAGGATTGATAGCAGGTGGGCTGTTTGTGGGGTGGGATTTGTTATTGTAGGGCTGCTGGCAGGTGAATTGTTTCTGGGGGAGGGATTTGTCATTGTAGTGTTGCTGGCAGGTGGATTGTTGTTTGTGGAGGAGGCATCTGTTGTTGTAGGGCTGCTGGGCAGCGGTTTTGTTGTTGAGCGTGTTGTGTGGTGCATAGTGTAGGGATGTTGTGTTGTGGAGCCCTGGCCACGCCTGCCCGTGGAGCTGAGATGCTGGCATGTGAGCGATACGCAGACCCTGCTGCCAGGGCAGGGAGCCACGCCCAGACCCAGGCAGGGATGAAGTGAGCTGCGGAGCCTCGCCTCAGCGGGATCAATTTCCTGGGGCTTCAGGAGAAAGGTCTTGTCATGGCCAAGCCACAGCTGGGACCAGAACCTGGCATCTAGGCTCAGCCCCCAGGCCAGGCCCCGCTTTGCTGTGGCAATGCCAGGCTCCGTCACAGGCCAGGGCTTCATTGCATTCACTTTATTTGCCGGCTGCGATATGGGATACCCACTGCTGACAGCGGGGCGGGGTTGGAGCGCTGGCACTGCCTCGGTTTTCCCAAGCTCCCTATTCGCCCCACTCAGCCCACAAAGGCCCCGTCAGGGTGCTGGGAGGCAGGGGCAGGAGAGAAGGGCAAATCCACAATTGCAACTCCCTCACCCACCCTCCCCCTCCAAGCTCACCGGGGCCTTACACCAGGTGGCCCCCCCCAATGCCCCTCATCTGCCCTCCCCAAACTCTCTGGGGCCTTGCACCAGGAGCTCCTGGCAGCCCATTCTGCAGGGGAGTGTGGGATCCCGCAGGCAACCCCTGCCCAGGCTTGGCTCAGGGGGCTCCAGCAAGGAGCAGGCAGGGGGGGAGCAGCAGCAGGGGGGAGGAGGTAGACAGGCGAGGGCCCCCGCTGGCCAGCTGCAGACCTGCAAGAGAGAGGTGCAGAGATGTCATCTCATTTCCAGGCATGGGTGGTGCTTCTTGTGCAGTGGGGCTGTAGATCTTGTTGTTATAGTAACTGAGTAAGGCCACTAGGGGTCAGCCCAGCCGGTTTGGGCTGGTTCTAGTTAGTTCTGGGTTATGAAATAAGTGGACACTTGCAACTGCTCAAGCTCTCTGTTTCCAGTGATTTCCTCCTAAACTGCGGAATGGCAAAGGATATAACCATGCTGGGAGTGGCAAACCTCCTCCGCCCCCAAGCTGGCATCCCAAGGGCAATGGCCACTGGAGATGGGGGCAGCCTGCAGGTGGGGAAGGAGAGAGACCCAGGGCAGCTGGCACCCCTCACTCCTGCTGTGCAGCTCCTGCTATCCCATCCCCAGGCTCTTCCCTCCACCCCATGCAGATCTGCCAACATCTCCCCATCCCCAGGTCACTCCATATCTGGCTCCCCCAGCTTAGCCAGTGCTGTTGTGCCAGGCTTTCCTATGCCAGTGCTGGGTCCCTCTGGAGCAAAGCCTGTTCAAGCCAGGGTCCTACACTCGGACAGTGCCTGGCCCTGGGGCAGACACACCACTCTGAGGACAGGGCTGAAAAACTGGCTCAGAGATACCCAAATGTGTCCTCCCTGCCCTCTGCTGGGATGTCCTGGGACTGCAGGCAACTCATTGACTGGGGCCCGTGCACACTCAGACCCTTAGCGCCAAACCCAGCCAGCACCCAGCAGTGCCAGAGCCAGCACAGCTGCCAGTCACCTTGCTCAGCAGCTCCATCATACTTCAGGAAAGGGCCAGCAGACACAACTCCTGAAGGAGGCTTCCTGCCCTGCACAGCAGAGCCCGGCCTGGCACAACGCTACAGGGGGAGAACAGAGCCTCAGCACTGCACTGAGCACTAGAGGGCACCAGGGTAGCAAGAGGCTCATTTGCACAGCACACTCTTCCCAGGGCTCAGATAGCACCGTAAAGTTTGTGGGTGCCTGGTTATGCGGGAATGCAGCCACCTCTGGGGTGGGGCAGCTGGGGCATAGCCACATGGCACTGCTGCTGCTAGGACAGTTTGTTAGCACTGAAATGCAGCCACCTCTGGGGCAGGGCAGCTGGGGCACAGCTTCATGACAGTACTACCTGACCCCTAGGCAGGGGATGCACTGCACACCCCATCCTACCAGACAAGGAGGACTTGGCAAGAGCAGTTCTCCACTGCACCCAGGAGAATTTCATTGTTGCACTCAGCCCCACAGATGAACAGCAGCTCTGGCTGGGTCTGTTCCTTGGGGCTGGAGCCGTAGGAACTCAGGGGGTTGCAGGACCAGGCTGAGAGCACAGCCTCCTGCCCACTCAGGGCTACCCTGTGCCCTGGCCAGCAGGAAGGATTCCAAGAAGTCTCAGAACCAATCCCTGGCGTGGAGCAGGGGCCCCCTGCCAGCGGGGTCATGCTCATGTGCTCGCTCACCATGGTGCACGTGGCTGCCTGGGGGCTGCAGAGCCGGACCCGGCAATGAAGATACACCAGCTCCAAGTCTGGGAGGAACTGGAAGACACTGAAGGAGAAGCGGCCAAGGGTGGACACGCCATCTTCCTCGATTGCCACTGTGCCATCTTGCAGGCTCGGACACCTGGGGAGGGCACAGGGGGTCATGGCACGAAATAACAGGCTGCAGGTTAGGTACTCTTAGCCAGCTCTGCTGGGCTACAGCAGCTCCTCCCAGCCCAGTGTAGGGTTAACACCCAGGAGGGGGGGACCTCCAGGCCCCACCTCTAGTCCACAAGGTCCCACTGCCCTCCCAAAGCTGGGGATAGAACCCTGGAGTTCTGATGTCCATTCCCACGCTTCCCTCCAAGCCACACTCTAACCACTAGTCATCACTGCCCTCCCAGAGCCAGGGACTGAGGCCAGGGTCTAGGCAGCAGTCCCTCTCACCCCTTACCCCCCCCCAGTGAAAGGGCCATCTGCTCACTGGTTGGTGATGAGAGCCCATCGGATGCTGGAGGAGGGGTCTCGGTCCGGAGTGGCCCAGCAGGATGACAACGTCAGCACAAATTGGCTGGTGTCCAGCCCCGAAACGCTGATGCCAACATAGACCCTGTGATTGACAGTGAGTGGCATGGGGCGCCGGGGAAAAGCGTTGCTGTAGTGAGGGTCTTGATACAGGACCATGGTGGTCAGGTAGCTCCCTTGGCCCGAAGGGAGGGTTGTGTTAACAACACTGAGGAAGAAGGCAAGAGCAGAGACACAACAGTCGATGGAGGCTGGAGCAGAAAGTTAATGTCAGCATCAGAGTAGGGAATTAGGGGCATCAGTGGGCAAGGGCAAAGGCAAAGTTAAAGGGTTATGGGAATGGATGAAGTCCCAGGAGCTGCAAGGAACAGGGCAGGAACTAGTAAGGTGCAAAGAAGCAGGAGAACAAGGGCTCACAGGAACTAGTGTGGGGTAAGGATACACGGAAGCCAGCGGGGATTAAGGGTACACAGGAACCAGCATGGTAAGAGTACACGAGAGCCAGCGGGGGGTAAGGGTACACGGGAACCAGCGGATGTGGGATCCAGGAGTCATGGAACAGCCAAGGCAGGTGGACTCGGGTCATAGGAACTCATGTAGTGCAAGGGTCACAGGAACTGCAACAGGAACGTGGGACCCAGGGGGTTGCAGGAATGGGTGCAAGGGGGTGGGACCCAGGGGGTTGCAGGAACGTTCGCTTACTCACTTTTCAGAACTATTCTTTGCGATGTGTCATTCATGTGCATTCCAAATAAGGGTGCACACATGGAACCTAACAGATGTTTTCTGAGCAACAACTGTTGGCTCAGCGTAGCTCTGCCTGGAGCGGCACTGATATGACGCTTGATATTGAGCCTTGCTCACCCACAAGCCCCCAGTTCCTTGCTGGCTACTCTGGGCCTGGCCATGCAGGACCCTGCAGCTGCAGGGGGAAGGGCGCTGCTGGTCGGTGCTGCGGGGGTTGCAGGGTGGCCGCTTGGAGCTGCTGCAGCCAGAAATCTGGGAGCTGGGCACGCAGTGCCTGATGGCAGCTATAAGGGGTGCTAAGCACCCCTTATAGTTGCCATCAGGCACCTCCCATAGGTTGGCCCATGCCTTAATCCGGCCCTGCATGCATGCACACCTGATTGGAATGGACATCAACAAGCACTTGAAGAACTGTAACAAGGGGGCGGGACCGGGGGGGGGGCCCTCAGGAACTAGCACATGGGGAGGGAGGAGCAGGGAGTCGCAGGAACTGGCATAAAGAGGCAGGACCCAGGAGTCACAGGAAATGGCACATGGTGGTGGGACCCAAGGGGGATCTCAGGAATTAGCACATGGGGTGGGACCCAGGGAGTTGCAGGAACTGGCCCACGGGGGTGGGACCCAGGGAGTTGCAGGAACTGGCCCACGGGGATGGGACCCAGGGAGTTGCAGGAACTGGCCCATGGAGGTGGGACCCAGGGAGTTGCAGGAACTGGCCCACGGAGGTGGGACCCAGGGGGGTTACAGGAACTGGTCCAGTGGCAGGAATCCTGCAAAGGAGCATGGTGGAAGCAGCCCTGTGGGCAGTGAGATGGGGCAGTGGTCCCAAGGCAGAGGGCTGCAGAGGGTGCCAAAAATCAGAGCAGCAGGTGGTTCTGTGCAGGGGCGCCAGGCTGTGGCCAGCTCCCGCCACCTACTCACTCCTGTATGGGCTGGATGGCCATTGGGATAGACAGGTTGATGCTCAGTGGGTGGGCACAGGAGAAGTGCAAGAAGAGGAGCCTGTCTCGGCTGATCACCCCTCCATAGGTGGTGCCCGTCCGGCCCTGCACCTGGTTGGAGTAGGTGGCGTGGGTGGCGTTGACCTGTGGGGGGCACAGAAGCAGCAGTGGTGGTAAGCATCAAACGTGTCCACACCCATGACCTATGTCGCTGCCATCGGGCCCAGCCCCATGGCCCTGCACATGTGACATTTGTCAACAGCCTTCTCACCCTCCTAGTCACCCAGGAAGAGAGCATGGACCAGCATAGGTCATGCGGCTCCCGTTGGCAGAGGCATGTGGCTGTGGGATCCCATGGGGGTGTGTGGCCTCCAGGATGCCCCAGTGCCATAATTTGGTAGGACCATGTTTACATGGGCAGATGTTGGTGCATGTGCATGTGGCTGTGTGTTGGGAGAGCGGCATAGTTACACTCATGGCCACGCACTGGAGGAGGTTGGCCT